GGCCTCGCGCCGCCCCCAGCCCCTCTCCCCACCCCGCTGCCCGGCGCCAGCCGCTCAGAACGCCAGCCAGCCATGACCGGAGCTCCTGTCCTAGCCCTGCTGCTGCTGGGGCAGCTTCTGACGGCCACCTACGCGCAGGTGAGCGCGAGCCCTCGGGTGCCGACCGGGTCGGGGACAGGGCTGGACGTCGAACCTCACAGCCCGAGACAGCTCGAGCCTCATGGGTCGAGCCCTGAGCCCCGCCGCCGAGGACCCTCGAGGACGTCTATGGCAGCCTCCTCGCCGCCTTGCTCCGGCGGGCAAACTCTCGTGATGCAGCCGAGCCCCATGGACACCAGGACAAATCGACCATGATCCTGGGCTCCCACTTGTCTTCGCCCAACCCGGTCAGGCCGCTGAAGGCGCTGCCACCACGCTCAGAACGCACAATGTTGTCTTTGTTCCTGGAGACTCCCTGCGGGGCCGCGGCACAGCCACTCCTGGAGCAAGTGGGGATAACCGTGTCTCCGCACCCGGCTCCAGCCCTGGAGACTTTGGGGTTTTCTAGCGGGCAGGAAAGGGGGGAGGAGTCACGGGCCTCTGTCACAGGCCCCAGAATTACTTGGGCTGGGGAAGATGGGACACGGGGCTGATATGGTGGTAAAGAGGGCTACCTAATAACTTATCTTAATTTCAGAAAGTGGGACCTCGAGGCCCCCCTGGTCCCCAAGGGCCTCCTGGGAAGCCCGGCAAGGATGGCATCGATGTGAGTTGGGAGAGGAATGGGGAAGGTGCCCTGAGACTCCTAGCCTTGTGACCACACATGCAAGCCCCTCTTCTGAGAGCTTGGGTGATACAGGGTACCCCCAGTAGGGCTGAAAAGGCCCCATTCCTCTTTGGGGTAGATTCTGGGGTATAGATAACAGGTGGTCCTTGGCTAAACTAGTGGGCCCTGAAAGATGCATGTACTCCTGTAGTCCAGGGAGTACTCTGGGGACCTGGGGATCGTGTTGGGGCTGAGAATTGAGTCAGTCTTAAATGGGGATGGGGACCAGCTTCAGAGATAGCGTCTCAATAAGTTATGGCCCAAACAATTTGGGAAGGCGACTGCAATCTTGTAGCTCTGCCCCACCCCCTCCCATCATCTGGAGTAGAAAGCTTCCCACAGGCTCTTCTCTAGGAAGGGCAGCCTCCAGTCGTTTATGTTATTCCCCTAGGGATGCACGCCATAGAAGGATATAGGAAACGTCACCAAGAGTTCCCTGAATCTGTCCCAGTACCTAGCTCAGCTGGAATAGCCACAGGCTCCCTCACACCCTTCCTGGTCTACTTTGTTGGACTAGGTTGCCCAGGACCTTACCCTCTCAACCCTCTCTGCTATAGCTGAGCATCTGGGCTTTAAGGTCCCTCCTTAAAACAGTCTTAAAGTCTCAGCTGAAAGATTCAGCCACCGTAGCGGTGTCCATGGAGGATGCAGCTGCTGGGACATCTTTCTGGAAAATGGGGGAGGAACTGCCATCTCCCAGACAGATGGAGTCAAGATGCTCAGCTAGCCACAGCCACTTGCTATTTCCTGGAAGCTACTATGTCCCTGCGTTCTCAAGTGATCCCCAAATGCTGTGTGGCTGAGCCTGTTTCTAGCTCACCCCATCCCTGCAGAGGAGAGGCCCCAGATATCTTAAGAGAGAGGGTCTGGGGACCCCCATAATGTCTCCATGGGCCAGGCTTCCAGAACTGGATTGGAGAATGACCCAGCTCTAGGGTGGGTTTCCTATTCTCAGGGGTTACATGTGGTCATTTTTTGTTTTTGTAGGGAGAAGCTGGCCCTCCAGGTCTGCCTGGCCCTCCAGTAAGTATCCCTGGTTAGAAATGGGAGGCTTTTCTAGTTTGCAAGGGAGAGGTGAACATGGAAAACAAAAGATCATTGATGCCCTGGCCTCACTGCTGTGGGCCTGTGTTGCCCCAGGAGAGGCCTGAGGGCAGAGCCTGGAAGTGGGTGGGAGGGGAGCATATGCTGGGTTTGTCTGGAAGCTTTCTTTGTGTCACTTTTCAGATAAACTAGAGAAGAGAGATAGTGCAGCCCTATAGGTCTCTCCCCACTGTGCCTGTGCAGGCTCTCTCACCTTTGTTGAAGATCTTGAGCCTACAGGCATTCCTATACAGTGACCTGCTGGTCTTTGGCTGGGGAGGCTGGATCCGTTTGGTGAACATCCAGTAGATACAATGGGAGTGAGACAGTCTTCCAGGGCCGAGCAGAGTAGCAGGGGAAGGAGCCCATCACCACAGCTGGGTGGTAGCCCTCTCGGAGTGGACTTGACTTCCTTGATGGAGACTAGAGCTTACAGCCAGATACTTCTTGTATAACTCTGTCCTTTCCTTCTACCAGGGACCCAAAGGGGCCTCGGGGAAGCCAGGGAAGCCAGGAGAGGCAGGACTGCCAGGACTGCCCGGTGTGGATGTGAGTGTACCCCCGCTACTGCATCCCTACCTCACCTCACCCCTGTCCCAGCCCAGCCAAGGGTCAGGCTTTCACTGCTATTCTGCAGCTGGGCTTACTCAGGCAGGAAACCTTGTCCTGACAGAAGTTGCAGTAGTTCCCAGTGGGGGTCCCTGGCCGTCATCCCAGACACTGCCAGCTCCTGGCTGGGACAGAACCAGCTTCCAGTAGTTGGAAGCTGCTTCAGCGCTTACTGATCTGAGAACAAGTGCCCATTGTCAGGCTTCCTGCACCATGCTGGCCACACGAGTGTTCCTGCAAGCTCCCTGATGCCTTGATGGATAGTGGTGTACTCAAGGTCCTGGCTGTGGGACTAGCCAGGCAGGATCTGAGGATTGGGCTGCTGGACCTATTTGTTTTGTCATCTTCTGGTTTGGTAGCAGATTTTCCACGTGCTGGCTCCACCCCCTCCTAGAGCTCTGGGTACCCCATTCAAAGTGATCCCTGCCTCTGGATTCATAGCTAATAAAGTGTGTGTGAGCCAGGAAGTGGTGGTGCACGCCTTTAGTCCCAGCACTCAGGAGGCAGAGGCAAGTGGATCTCTTAGAGTTCAAGGTCAACCTGGTCTACAGAGCGAGTTCCAGGACAGTCAGGGCTACACAGAAACACTGACTTGAAAAAACAAACAAAAAAGTGTCAGTGGCTCATCCTTCCTGGGACATGGCATGTGCTTCTCATTTGGTGGTTTCTTGAGCCCGTACTCTACCTACTTCTCCAGGGTCTGACCGGGAGGGATGGACCCTCAGGACCCAAAGGTGCCCCTGGAGAACGGGTAAGTGTTTCAGTTCCAGTGGCCAAAGTCTAGCGGTACGGTTCCCAGGTGGCCCGCCATACCATCAGGATGAAAGTTCTGTGGATGATGTCCCCGACTACACTGACTGGGCCCTATCTCATTACTCCACTTTAGGGAATGATGCTGAGTAGACACCCCTAGGCCCCTCTTTCCAGCAATCCCACAGCACCTGGTCACAGACATCTTGGCATTCAGACCATGGCAGGGAGAGCTGATGTGGTGATGGGGGTACAGGATGAGCCCCGGATGTCCCTCCTCTCAGTGTCCCTGGACACCAGGGCCCTGGGTGAATCAGTACAGGAGGAGCCACGCCCCTGTGCATCCCGAGTTGGACCATCTTCACTGAATCCCCCATTTACCAGCAAATTGGCCCTCTTTCCCACTGGTTTGGAGAACAGATCTGTCTACAGGTTCTTCACCTCAGGAGAAGGGGTCATGAGCGCAAAGCACCTCAGAGAGCAAGAGAGGACACAAGGCTAGCATGGGGTACTCAGATATGTGGGCACCTAAATGAAAGAAAGTCGCTGGTGGCCACCTGGGCTGGCCCTGCTCAGCCTGCGTGGGTTGGTCCCAGGCTGTCTGGGGGACACTTTGACTACAGTGTAAGGACCAGAGTGTACCCACTTCTTGACAAACCAGTCATTTTAGACCCTGTCTGCCAAGCTGGTAGTTCCTTCACATAAACCCAGGCCTGACGTTTCAGCAATGAGCTAATGTTGGCACAGCTTCCCAGAAGACAGTCTTGGGTCCCCTAACTGTGGCTCACACCTACCTTTGTGTCCTGCCCTCCCATTGGTTCTGCCTACCCACTAGCAACTTTCTTGGCCATGTTTTTCCTCCATACTCACTCAGGTTTCTAGGACAGCAGAACCTTGCATGGCCTCAGTTTTCTATAGCGGTTTTCATCCCTGCTCCCCAACTCGACAGAATTATGACTTAGGCTCCAAAGGGAAAAAAAATAGGTTTGCAAACAAAGGTCAGAGTTTCTTCCTTGTGTGCTCTGACCCCTTATTCCTCTTCAGGGAAGTCTAGGACCCCCAGGACCACCAGGACTTGGGGTAAGTACCAACCTCTCCTCCCTATGAGGTTTTGAAAGCCAGTGTAACTAGTCATTGTGGGATGACATCCTTGGGGTCCCTTGCTGTGGCCCACAGGCCTAGAGCCTTATCTAGGCTATAACCTCTACAATAGTGGGTACGGTTCTCCTAAATCAGGTACCTCACTCTTCCTGGACCCCAAAATTGCCTTGGGGGTGGCAGGGCCAACCTATGCTCTGACATTATTCTTGGCTTTGCAGGGCAAAGGCCTGCCTGGACCTCCTGTGAGTATTCATCATCCCCTGGGCCCCTCCCAAGAATGTAGGTTCCCAGAGCAGCCCTCACTGAATCCCACCTTGTGTGGGATACCCCAGACCGTGGCATAGTGGTCTTTTTAGGGAATGACCTGACTTCTTCACACTTGGAGTCCTGGCCTTCCAAAGGACAGATGACCCTGGTGGGAGTCCCTCACTCAGGGTCACAGGCTGCCCATTTCCCTCTTCTTTACCTCCTCCAGGGAGAGGCAGGAGTGAGTGGACTCCCAGGTGGGATTGGTCTGCGAGGCCCCCCGGTGAGTAACTGCTCCTTGTGTGGCCACTGCATGAATACATGTAGCCTTAGTACCCACACCTAACCAGAAGTTCCGTGATCCTTCTCCTCCTTACTTTCACCCCATTTCCTCTGTCTTCCCTGTACACTCTCTCCTCTCTTTTCCCTTCCCCCCCTGCCCCATACTTGGTGGGCACTGACAGAAGCCCAGGCAGAGAGGCACATGACCCAGGGTGGCAGACAGATAGGTGCCAACAACACAGGCTTCATCCAGGGAGGATACAGGGAGCTGTAGTATCCTCTTGTTTGGGTGAAACTGGTGCCCTCAGTGGGTGGGGCAGGCTCTGTTCTGAGTCATGACTCCTCTGTAGGGACCCTCTGGACTCCCAGGCCTGCCTGGTCCCCCAGGACCTCCTGGACCTCCTGTAAGTATTGAGGAGGGGTCTCTGTCAGGCAGTCTAGACTAGCTAGTCTGGACCCCACCTTAATCCCTACCCGGGCTCTGCCATTCCCCACAAGCAGGTGGGAGACGGGTTGGTACAGCATAAAAGGTCACTTTGCCCCAGGACAGATGGTTTCTGTTGTCATCTACTCTGCAGATGGGTCAGCAGTGCCTGGCACTGACTGCTGGGGAGATAGGGTTGAGGATTTCAAGCCCTCTGTTAGATGAAAACCAAGAACAGAGTAGGTAGGAGGGTGGATGGACACCAACGGCTTCTTTGTTATGTTCAAGGGAAACCCTGGAGTCCTCCCTGAAGGTGCTACTGATCTGCAGGTATGCTTCGTGGTGACTATGGGGGGCTTATGAGCATAGTCACAGACCTACTCAGGTCCTGCTTTGGAGGAGGAGTCTTGCCTGGGGCCACTGCTTGGGGGTGGGGTGGGGTTCCAAGACAGAGTTCCTACCCATAGAGGGACCTGCTTTCCTGGCAGGAAGGCCCCAGAGGGAGTTCCTTGGGGACTGGGCTCTGCAGATGGCTCCAGGCACAAACCTGGCCTCATCTTCTCTGCTCACCATCTACAACTGTGTTGTCCCTTACAAAGCTGCTAGTCACAGGGGAGCGGCACCTAATGAGTGCAGTTCCATCAGGTGGCAACTCTGCTTCCTGAAGAGCCACCTCTCAGCTGTTCTCAGTATTAGGTGGTAAGCAGCCACTGCCCTGGGTGACTGACAGGCCTAGTCTGTCACGGGGCTTTCATCCCCATCTGGACACTGCTTCACCCAACACCGACGGCCACCTTCCCACTGTTCTTCGCCCTTGCTCACATCCCCTAGAAGGAGAAAAGAGGGCTCTCCCAGATGAGGACAGTGTTGAGCCTCTGGGATGGCTGGTGGTGGGTAGAAATCACTGCCGCTGTGTACCCAGGCTTGACCTGGCCAGTTCAGCATGAAGTGAACTGGAAATCTCCATCGGTTTCTTGGTATCTGGCACAGATATGCTGTCAAACCAGAGCATCAGTACTATTGGTTGAGTTCACATAGCATCCCTCCTAAGAGCCTCCAGGTGCCCAGTCACATGAAGGCTCCTTTGTGGAGCCCGCGGCCAGCAGCCAGCATGTAAATAGCTACTTTGAGGTTGAGCCTGTCTGTAGAGAGTGAGGGACGGTGACTGGCTACAGTCCAGCTCTCCACAGTCACTCACCACACCTCATGCCCAGCTCTGAATGGGGCCCTGTTCAGGCTTGTCCACAGTACCCCTCACTGGTGAAATGGTCCTTTTCAGTCCCCCACCCCCTGCTGCTGGTCTCTCTTGGTATCCTGCCCCAATTGTCTTGGAAGGATCTGACCCTTCTGTTTTTCAACAGTGTCCTGCCATCTGCCCTCCAGGCCCCCCTGGACCCCCAGGAATGCCAGGGTTCAAGGTGAGTCAGTAGGTGACAGGCTGAGCACACTTCTCCACTGACAGAGGCCACTGGGTCCCCTCCATGCTATGTAGTTTGGGGTTTCAGAAAGCCTGAGCCTAGACTCAGCTTGTTAAGGGGGGGTGGATATCATTGTTCATCAACTCATTCCATTTTCTCTACCCATCTTCTCACACTAGAAGTGGGTGTGACTAGGCTCAGCCTGGCCTAAGAGGTCACAGGAGGCAGAGGCTAACCATAACCCTCCTCCTCTTGGGGGTTCTTGGGAAGCACAGTCACAAACCCCTTCAGGTCTCAATCTCCCTGTCCAGTTGCACCTTGGATGCTGAATTCATGCCTGATTGGGGGCATCCAATGGTCTAGGGACTGTGACTTCTATGTTTGCTTTCAGGGACCTACTGGCTACAAAGGGGAACAAGGAGAAGTTGGCAAAGATGGTGAGAAGGTAAGATGCTGTCCACATAGGTTTTACTGAGCTAGAAGTGGCAGCCACAAGGCAGAGGGGAGTTGGTGGCTGGCAGTCCTGAAAGTCATAGGGAAAGGAGCTGGAACCTCTGGGTGGGTATCTGCTGCTGGTATTTCCTCAGTGGGCCTGGCTAGTCAGAACTGGGAGGCCTGGAACAGACTATGTTCGTGTAAACAAATTTTAGCTGACCTCACATGGAAGCTCTTGGCATGCTGAAAGTCTCTGAGGACACTTGGGCCTAAAGTGTTCATAGAAGCCTCTGTCACTCTGACACAGTGGCCACTGTCCTAGAAGGCCACTGCCTACCCTTGCTACATGCTGGGAAGAGGTGCAGGATACCCTTATGATGAGTACAGACTTCCAGATGTACAGTGAGCACTCCCCCCCGCTTGACCAGGAAGGAGGTGCCTAAGAAGGCCTGGGGCCCCCGCTTGAGCAGGGACCTCTGGTCCTTCCCAGGGTATCGAGGCCACCATCATTTGTGTGTTGAGTGAGGTGTATCCCCCACCTCACTCAACCTCCGTGGCTCAGCTGTGAAGGAGGAGTGGTGCCCCTCATGACTCAGGCTCACGGAAGGGGACCAGTGGGAAATGAAAGATGTGAGGAGAACTAGAGTGAACTAGCTGACTACTGCTTTCTCTGTTGTAGGGTAATCCTGGACCTCCTGGGCCTCCTGGCATCCCAGGCACCGTGGGACTACAGGTGAGGATAGGGAGGGATCAGGTGGTGAGGTGGAAAACCCTTTGATGGTCACCAAGGGAAGTTAGTTTAGACTTCAGGGACAAGTAACCAGCTCCTGAGAGAGGATCGTACCCAGGGTGACACTAAGGCTGGAGTTGCTCCCTCCAGGAGCTTTAGTTGAAGTCAAGCTCTTCTGGAATGATGCCAAGGCCTCAGGGGACTCAGAGGCAAGGCCTATGGTGACTGTTCAGGTAGATGTGCCGTCTGGCCCCTGTGGCACAGTTCTGTTCTCTCAGGGCCCACGAGGATTACAAGGACTTCCAGGACCACTTGGGCCCCCTGGGGACCGGGTAAGTGCTTCTGGCTCCATGGGGAGTGAAGGAGGGGGGGCTGTGGGTCAGCTGAAGTCAGTCCTAGAATTGTCCCTACCCAGAGTCTTCTCAGGCTCAAGATGAAAGTGCCTTAGCAGCCGGAATCTCAGGGTTCTTGCTGGCTGGCGACTTGGGGCTGGGCTGGAGCCTCCTCTAGGAGGACAGCAAATGCCATCTCTCCTCTACAGGGTCCCATTGGGTTTCGGGGCTTCCCTGGGGTCCCAGGAGCACCTGGGAAAGTGGTATGTATCTCTCTGGGCTGGGGTGGGATGGGGAGGTGGACCACACACCAGCCCAGACCTTTGACCCTCAACCCCACCATCCTGCTGCCAATTCACACAAATGCTCCCTCTGTCCCACTTGGATTTCCCCCAGCCCTGTCTGTCCATAGATAGAAACATGAGGCAGTCAGATGTACCATGGGGTGGTGTATCTATCTGTGAGGTCCGGAGCATATGGGAAGTCCCACAGGGTGTGTGGCATGCCTCGGTGACAGCACAGCTGGGGTGCATGGGATATCTGACCTTCATGGGAGATCTGCCTCCATTGCTGTCCGGATATGAGCTGGGGGAGGAGGGGTGTCACTGACTAGGTCTAGAGGGCTAAACCAGGCAAAACCTGGAAGGGACCACAGTCGGAATACACAGCTTTCCTGCCTTCTCTCTGTTGCTAACCCTGTCCCTACCCCCTTGTTATTTTTTAGGGTGACAGAGGTGAAAGGGGTCCAGAAGGGTTCCGAGGCCCTAAGGGTGACCTGGTAAGTAAGAAGGAGCTTGGTTCTCTGGATCCATCTGTGAAAGAGCCTGACTTAATTCCTGACTAGAGTTGGGGGTGGAGAACACTTGGAGGACCTCTGCCAGGGGCATGAGGGCTCTTCTTGCTATACCCTATTCTGGAAGGGTCCCAGCCCTCTCCCTGCCTAGCAGCCAGCAGTTAGAAGCTCAGGGCAGAGGCTGGGGCCTGGGCCACTGAACTAAGATCTGGCTCCAGCCCAGCCCTAGGAGATAGATAGGTAGCTTCCTCCCTCCACTTTGCTAATCTCAGACTGCAGCTGCAGATGGAGATTCTGTAGTGCGGTGTGTGGACAGGAGCTTAGTAGGCACCCAGGCTTCTCCTGAACAGAAGTGGCTATCCACAAACATTTGCCTCTGGTAGCCACCAAACCTTTTCTTCCCTACCCAAGACCAGTGGCTGAGCAGTGCTACAGTGTCCGTAAATCCTAAGGGTTCCACATGCCTGGAGAAGCCCTGGTAACGGAGCCTATCTGCAGTGATTGGGATGAGCCATGACACCGTCTCCAGTTGAAGCACAGTATACCTGATGTCCCAGAAGCTGGGCCTGTGTGGCTGAGCCTGTAGAGGCAGGATGGGATGTTCCTCGGGGACCCAACTTCAGCTGTTTCTGTTCCATGTTTCCTTTAGGGCAGGCCTGGTCCCAAAGGAATCCCTGGAGTGGCCGGACCAGGTGGAGAACCAGTGAGTATCTCAGGTATTGGTGGCATTGAGCCTGGTGTCATGGTCACAAAACTGCCCCAACATTGCTATTCCTCTTGGCTGAGCTCTTACCATTCGTCATCATTCCCCTCAGGTTCTTTCCACAGAACCTTCCACACACAGGGCCCTGCTTCACAAGTGTATGACCTATGAAGGGCCAGGGACCCTATTCAAAAGTGCCAGTGCTATATGTAGTCTAACCTGCGACTACCTCCTTGCCGTTTAAACCACTGTGCTTCAGCAATTCCCAGAAACCCACAGCAGAATCTAGCAGTCCCCAACAGCCCCAGCACCCGCCAACTGCTCTAGCAGCCCCAGAAATCCATAGCCTCCCTTGAATACCCCAACATTTCCAGCAGCCCCCACCAGCTCACAGAAACCTACAGCAGCACCTAGCAGCTCCCAGCAGCCTGAAAGGAAGGGTGGTAGAATAGGGCCAGCAAACACAGATGGGTATGTTGGGCTCCATGGGCACTCTGTCTACCCACTCCCTTGCAAGGCCTCTGAGGGTAGCATACAGCCACCTAGCCAGGAAAACACAGCCAGTCTCAGGGACTCAAGAGACATTTTTAGTTTAGGAAGGGTTTCTTCGTGGAACAAGGTAATCCTGTCTGTCTGAAGGGCCTAACACTGTCACTTGTCCTTAGGGCATGCCAGGCAAGGATGGCCAGGATGGCGTGCCAGGGCTTGATGGCGAGAAGGTTGGTGCCTGGCAGAACACTTGCTGGGAGGAGATGGGAGAGGAGTTCAGCTCCTCCAGGCCTCGCCATCATTTTTCCTCATACCCTAACCACTGTCCTTGCAGGGAGAGGCTGGTCGCAATGGTGCCCCAGGAGAGAAGGGCCCCAATGGGCTGCCGGTGAGTGCCCACAGCAGTAGCTTAGTTCCTCTGGGATTAGCTCCTGCAGATGTCCTAGGAATAACTCTGTTAGGATCTGGCACAGCCCTGGTAGGTGATGACAGGGACCTACTTTAACATTCTGTACTCTAGTGTGGGGGACAAAATGAACCTGTATTTGTTCTGGATACTGTGGGGTCCCCCTTGTGTGTCCTGACTGGGAGTACTGTCAAGGCTCTGTATCAGGCTGAGGAAGCTGTGAGAGTCCCATCGTGGGTCAGCTTTACCCTTGGGGGTGCTTTGTCTGGCCTATGCACACTGCCCATGTGCACAGAGCAACTGCACTGTGAACATTTTCTGGGTGCATGCCCTCTGTGGGCTCAGCAGCCTTGGTTCTGATCCTGGCTTCCAGCCCTGACCCTCTGATCACTAGCGTTATTCCTAATCTAAACTCCAGTCTTGACCTAGACTGTTATCTTGACTTCAACCCTGTACCTGACCCTGATCCCTGTCCTGGCAGGGGCTCCCTGGGCGAGCCGGGTCCAAAGGCGAGAAGGGAGAACCGGTGAGTGGCTTTTTCCCCCAAGAGGGAGTCACAGAAGGCAAAGCTCCAGTGATGGTGATGGAAGGAGGGGACATAACATTCTCTGTCTCCTCACGTCTACAGGGTAGAGCTGGGGAGTTGGGTGAGGCTGGCCCTTCTGGAGAGCCAGGTATCCCTGTAAGTATCAGTAACCCTTCCCTATGTGTACACAAGAACTCTACCCCTCCAGTGTGTATACATGGAAACCTGCCCTCTCTACATGTGTGCAGGGGTACCTTGCTTCTTTCCCCATGTGTCCACAGGGACCTGCCCTTCCCCTATGTGTATATGGAGATTCTGCCTTGTCTGTGCATGCTGGGTTTCTGCGCCTCCCCCTTCCATGTGTACGAGTGTACTCTGGCCCTTTCTCCTCACATATGTCGTATGTCATATCCTGCCCTTACCTTTTCTTTCCTTGCAGGGAGATGTTGGTGTTCCAGGGGAGCGTGGTGAGGCTGGTCACAGGGGCTCAGTGGTGAGTGGGAGGACATCGCTCCCTTGGAACGGGCACAGAGACATAGTTTATGAGCAAGAAGGGGTAGCACTTTGGGTTTATCAAGGGCCAAATCTGTTAAACCTGGGAATGGCAAGAAATGGGGGAATCTCACCTTCTTTATCCCTCACACTCTGGAATAATGGTGCCATGCTGGGCTACCTTAACCTCAAATTCTTCATGTCACTGTGCTGCTGAGACCCTGGCAAGTTTAGGTGGAAATTCCCAAGCCTTGTACTATATAACCTGTGGATTCAACCCTTCTCTAGCACCTTGTGGAAGGCACTGGGCATTGGTACCTGACACTGAGCCAGCCTGACAATTTTGGTAGAGCCTGAGATCTGCTCCCCATACTTAATTGCCCCAGAAGGTGTCTGTGCTTGTATCTCCAAAACTAGTAATTTAGTGGCATGGCTTAAGACTCATTCACTGTCCACCCAACATCCCAGGGAGGCATAGCTGGGTTTTCTGGGCCACAAAGGCTGTTAGGGCCTCCATGGACTTCACAGTATCCATTTATATCTTGCTCTTTTAGGGGGCCCTTGGCCCACAAGGTCCTCCTGGGGCCCCTGGTGTCCGTGGCTTCCAGGTGGGTAAAGTTGGAGTAATGGTTTAAGCCAGGGCAATGTGCCCTGGTTGGCTGGGCAGAGGAGGTTGGCCCGGTCTTACTAGCTGGGTACTGACTAGCTGGGATGTTATCCAATCCACAGGGCCGTAAGGGCAACGTGGGAGACCCTGGCCTTCCAGGCCCCCAAGGCCTAAGGGGTGATGTGGGTGACCGGGTAAGTGTCTTTCTCTTGTGCCTCCCTGCTCTAACCAGTCTACATAGACCCAAGGCAGCAGTCTGTTCCTTTCCACATGGGTGGTAAGGACACTCTGTTCCTTTCTACATGGATGCTAGGGACTCTGTGAACAGACGCCCTTGGTCCTTTTATCGTTCATTCTTTTGGTGATCTTCTTGGACAAGAGGGGATCTAGAATAGTCACTGCTCTGTGGCAAGCTCCACATGCAGGACTAAAAGAACCAGTAATTGAGCCGGGCGTTGGTGGCACATGCCTTTAATCCCAGCACTCGGGAGGCAGAGGCAGGAGGATCTCTGTGAGTTCGAGACTATCCTGGTCTACAAGAGCTAGTTCCAGGACAGCATCTAAAAGCTACAGAGAAACCCTATCTCGAAAAAAACAAAAAACAAAAAACAAAACAAAACAAAAAAGAACCAGTAATTGGGGCATGGGTAGAGGCAGTGACTTAAGGCTCTAGGCTCTGGGCTACTGTTGGGTATGAGCTGAGACCTAAATGACCCTAGTGTTTCAAACATGTAACTTTCTAAGACTCTTTGCTGCTGGTCCTATGGCAGCCAGTGATATTGGTGTTCTACAGGGCCAGGGCCCAGGGAGTTGTGGTTTACTCAGGTTCTCACTCCTGGGTGGAGGTTAGGGGTCTTGACAGGAGCCTAGACCATACACCAGGTCATTAGGGGCTATGTGATTGCTTTCTTGGTTCCCCACTGGGCAGAAACAAGCACTCTAAAGATGTGTACATTCAGGCATTGGAGGCTCCAGGGCATCTTTACAGACACAGAGAGCCACAGAAACTACATACCACTACACAGGGACAAAGGTGCTTTATTAACCTCCAGGCAGGAAATTCCAGGGGTTAGGAAACTAGCCAACAACTCCAAGGACCCTAAGCTAATGGAGGGAAAAGCTTGTTGGTGGCAGCGCTGGTGCCTGACCCAGTCCCAGGGGGCTGGAGGTGCATTTTTCTGGCTTTCTTGTCCTTGAATAGCTCTTGCCTTCACTTTCACATTTGAATTCTCTTTTTAAAAAAGATTGATTTTTATTTTATGAGTATGTGTTTGCCCACGTGTATGCATGTGTATTGTGTGTATGCAGGAGCGTGGGTGTCTGATTCCCTGGAACTAGAGTCACAGACAGCTGTGAGCTGCCTGATGTGGTTCTGAGCCATCGTTCCAGCCTTCACCTTTACATGTTGAGGAAGCCTCATGCTTTTTGCTCTCTAAGCACATATTCCACCACTCAAGCAAAAAGCTCTGTGTGTGTGTGTGTGAGAGAGAGAGAGAGAGAGAGAGAGAGAGAGAGAGAGAGAAAGAGAGAGAGAGAGAGAGAGAGAGACGGATAGACGGAGATAGACACAGAATACCTTCACAAGTCATAGACATTAATAATTCGTTCTCCACTGGGCGTGACAGGCAGCTGCTGTCCTGGGAAATTTGACCCTTGAAGAACCTGTGAGGCATGGAGGGCTGTGTGCTGCTGTTATCTATAAACTTGGGTTTGGCAGCTGGGGCTGGGGTCTGGTTCTGAGCCCCCTGCCATAGGAGAAATTGTTATGCCTACTCTAAGTGGGATTCCTGCCTCTGCTATGCAGGGCAGTGACACTCTGTGGGGATCACCAGGATTTCTCTAATCTAGAACCTTCTCTCTGCCCAGGGTCCAGGAGGTGCCACAGGCCCTAAAGGAGACCAGGTGAGCATAAGTTCCATGCATGTCATCTCAGCTCTAAGCCATCTGGCTGTGGGTTTACTTTGAAAGCTCTTGAGAGGCTCTTCAATTCTTTCTCTCTGTCTCGTATTGCTTCTGATTTCCTCCATCCCTGCTTAGCGCAGCCCTGGACATCAGAGGGGACAAAGTCAGCTGCTTTACTGGGTACAAGTAGTCTAGATGATCACTATGTGGTCCTAGGTGGGTGGGGGGGGGTACTTCTGATTAGGGAAACTGGCTTTGTAAAAGGAGTGAAGAGAGCCAGACATTGGTGGCGCACGCCTTTAATTCCAGCACTCAGGAGGCAGAGGCAGGTGTATCTCTGTGGGTTCGAGGTTAGTCTGGTCTACAGAGTGAGTTCCAGGACAGGCTGCAAAGCTATACAGAGAAACCCTGTCTCAGAAAAAAAAAAATGAGTGAAGAGAAGTGAAGTGTGGGCTCTAAGACGTGTATTGCAAAGCAGGTTTGAGCTGTGGGGCTTTCTGAAGCCCATTCCTCCCTGAAACAGCTCAGAGAGGATGCACTGTGATGGCTGTGGCAGCCCATCCTCCCAGCAGCTGCTTCCTCTTCTCTGGGTGATCCAGGGCTTCTCCGTATAACATTGTGGAAGTGCTACATAGCAGGAAAGCCTCACTGTGCAAATAAGTGGCTTCAGCTTTGTGAGTCTCTTGGGCTGTGGCTTTTTTGTTCTCATGTTACTTTGGAAGCTCCTTCAAGTACAGGATCCTGGCCTAGACTCTGGCCTAGGATCAGTAACAAAATAGACAAGTGGCTTCAGGTGGGGAGGAGCCAATGGTAACTTTAGTGTGTCATCCTCAGGGCATTGCAGGTTCTGATGGTCTTCCAGGGGACAAGGGAGAGCTGGTGAGTATGCGTGAACCCCTTACTGCCAACTGAGAGTCACCTGGTCAGTTTGGTGGGGACTGTCCTGTGGATCAGGTATCTGAAGATGGCACCCACAAGTGCCCAGGCCTTGCCACCCATTAGAGTGTAGGTGGTGGGAGAGTGGGGTCCAGAAGACACAGGCAGGGTGGTTCCCTGATAAGGTTAGGACTCTCAGAGGGCTTCATTACATTTTGCTCAGGAAAGTCACCCTTGCTTGAATCAGCCACTGCTGAGGTCAAAGTGGAGAAAAATGCCACTTTCAGAGCTGGAACTTGGGTTTATTATAAAGTAGAAGCTTTGGGGGCTGGAGAGATGGCTCAGGTTAAGCCTGCTCTTCCAGAGGTTCTGAGTTCAATTCCCAGCAACCACATGGTGGTTCACAACCATCTGTAATGAGATCTGATGCCCTCTTCTGGCCTGCAGGCATACATTCAGGCAGAACACTGTATACATAGTGTATCTTTAAAAAAAATTAAGTAGAAGCTTTGACTAAGCCACTCACAGCTCTCCTGGAGGCACCAGGAATAGAACCACCTTGGAACTCAAATGGAAAGGCCTTTGTGGCTTCAAGGTGGCTAGGGCTTTCAATTCTACAGTGATGTCTTTCCTTTTTGTCCAAGTGACACAGAGAAAGTCTAGCTTCAGGGATCCTGCCTTCAGGTAGCAACCCTTGGCCACTGTGAACCTATTAATGCCTTTCACAAATAATCCCAGTTGATTGTACTTTATTTTGGAAAATTCTTGACAGGGCTTTAGAATCAGCCCCACCTGATCATTCTTAAACTGATGGAGTGTTACACAGTGGTTGTGTGGGACAGAGCCCCTGCCAGCCAGAAACCTCTGTATGGTGCCACTTACCATAATGGTGAGCCAGGTGGGGACCTTCACCCTCTGTCCTTTCCTGCTTTATCTGTGGACAGTCAGCTCACAATTGTGAGCAAAGCCAATAGATGGGCCCAATCAGTCTACTTGCATTTGGGACCAACCATTTCTGAGGCCCCAGCTAGGGAAAGGCACAGCGTTCTAGAAAGGAGATGTTCAGTTCAGCATTTGTAATACTGGAGTGAAGAGACTGGGAGGAACCAGGCCAGACGGGTGTAAGAGCAGACACCACACAGCCACTAAAATCAGGGGACAGAGGCTTTATTATTATTATTATTTATTATGTATACAGTTATCTGCATGCATGCTTGCACACCAGAAGAGGGCAGCAGGTCTCATTATAGTTGGTTGTGAGCCACCATGTGGTTGCTGGGAATTGAACTCAGGACCTCTGGAAGAGCAGTCAGTGCTCTTAACCTCTGAGCCATCTCTCCAGCCCCCGGGACAGAGGTTTTAAAACAGCATCTGTAGGTGAAGAAGAAGAACCTTGCCAGTGTGTTCATGTGTGAGGGCTTTCAGTGTTAGCTTGAGAGCTGTCCTCCCATGGCCGTGTGCGAGGTCAGCTTTTACAGCCACTGCCACCGCCCCATACATAGTTAAAGAATATACTTCACTTCATTTTCACAGGGTCCCAATGGCCCCGTTGGACAAAAAGGAGAGGTAAGTACCTAGCAGATACTTTGACAACAAATCCAAGGAGCCCACAGGCTCCCATCTACCTCTGGGTGGGTAGTTGCCCTGTAAGGTACTGCCTAGATCTGAGGACTGGTGGCCACTCACTCCTGAGGTTCAGGACTTCCCAAGGAGCGCTCACTCTGACCCCCTTCCTCTTGTTTTTCTGCAGTCTGGAAGCCGAGGGGAACTGGGCCCCAAAGGTATCCAGGGCCCCAATGGTACCAGCGGCGTCCAGGGTGTACCTGGTCCCCCAGGGCCACTGGGCCTCCAAGGCCTGCAGGGTGTTCCAGGCATCACAGGGAAGCCTGGAATTCCGGTTTGTTCCTTTCTCTTGTGTTGGGGTAGTTGGACTTGTGCTGGGTTTAGAACATGATTTTTTGTGGGGTTTAGAACATGATTTTTTGTGAACTATCGGTTTGGGGAGTGATGTGCTGGGTATGTCAGGGCTGCTGGTGTACTGGCCCACCTGCTGATGAACCTGGTGAATTTCAGGGCAAGGAAGCCAGTGAACAGCGCATCAGGGAGCTTTGTGGGGGGATGATCAGTGGTGAGTCTCCTGTGCACTCCTTCACCCTTCACTGTCCTCCCCACCCTGCCTGTCCTATGACCTCAAGGAGGGCTTAACACAATGCAGGGCACTCAGAGAAGCCCCAACTAGCTATTGAGGGCAATGTTACAAGGAAGAAGTTGGGTGGTGGTGAACTGGGGAGGCAGAGGCAGGCAGATCTCTGAGTTCAAGAACAGTGTGGTCTAAGAGAGTTCCAGGACAGCCAGGGGAACACAGGAAAAACCCTGTCTCAGAAAACAAGGAAGAAACAAACCACTATGCCCTTTGGCCAGGAGGGACAGCTCCTTTCCTGAGTGGCTTTGAACTTCTCATTCCAGCATGTGAGGTGTTCGTGGGGGTGGGGGGGGCTTTTGTTTCCCGTGGTATACCCTAGAGCAGTTAATAACCATTTTTGGTCAGTAAGTGCATTCCCTTATGAAAGATAGCTGGATGTGTTATACTTTGCATGAAGATACTTTGGTAATCCTCTCTGAAGTGTGTACTTGGAACCCTGTTTTCCAAAAGAGCAAATCGCACAGTTGGCTGCACACCTGAGGAAGCCCTTAGCACCAGGCTCCATCGGCAGGCCTGGTCCAGCTGGACCCCCAGGACCCCCAGGACCCCCAGGATCCATTGGTCACCCTGGTGCTCGGGGTCCCCCTGGATATCGTGGTCCCACTGGGGAACTGGGAGATCCTGGACCTAGAGGTAAGTAGTTGATCCAAGCAAGACATGGTCATGCCACTATGATGGCACTGTCTCAGCCACCAGTCCCACCCTCCAATGCTGAGAGGTCTTACTCCCGAGATCCATGGATGAGAGGACTTAAGGGACATTCAGGTCCACTGTCACCCGAATGAGACTGTCATTTCTGCCCTCAATTGGCTTCATGGTCATGAGACCTGAGAACAACACACATTTATGTGGGCTTAGTGTAGGTCAACCAGTTCTACTGTCTACATGGCTCACCTAGAAATGCTGTAAGGATGCAGTCAACAATCTGGGCCTTTGTGCTTTTGAGGCCACCACAGGTAATTTCTTGCCATTCTGTGGGAAGCACAGTAATCTGAAATGTGGTATTTTTCTCAAATACCACCAGGACAAAATTTGTTGGGGATGTGAGCAATAAATAATAGGAACCAATTTCACCCAAGAGCTCAGACTTTAATGAAGACTGGTAGTACATGACAATGTCAGTTGCAATAAAAACAACTCATTCAAACTGTATTTAAGATTATATGAATCAGGGAGCCTTTGAAAGGAAGAGACAGGTCAGACCTCAATACCTGTCTTCTGATGTCATAGTAACTAGTGCATAGTGTGGACAGCTTGCTTGAAGAAAACTAGGGCACCAGAGACAAACTGGGGGTTGTAATGACACATTGAGCTGATGGACATCAGCCTTTCCCCAAAACCTTGAGAATTTGTGTATTTTAAAATGTAGACCTCTCAAGCCTCATGTCATTGGTGACAAATTTGAAACTTCTGATTCCACCTGGTTCTGATTGATTGGTCAATAGCTTCCTGCTTCCCAAAGGTAGCTTGAGAAAATAATCTGGGCTGGGCATTGGTGGGACACACCTTTGATCCCAGCACTTGAGAGGCAGAGACAGGTGGATCTCTGTGAGTTCAAAGCCAGCCTGGTCTACAGAGCGAGTGCCAGAACAACCTCCAAAGCAATACAGAGAAACTGTCTCAAAAAAACAAAAACAAAACAAAACAAAAAAAATAATAATAATCTGTGTGGGAAGTGATTTCTGAGTCCCTCATCATCTCCAAGGTTACACTTAAAACTTTGGTAGGTGGATGGACTGGGTATAATTTGAATATCATTTTTACCTGTTTTTAAAATCCTCGGAGATTGAGGAATTTCAGCACCAGAGAGCAAACACGGAGAATTCTTCTTGTTTCAGTGCAGTGTCTGTCCCAAAATCAACTTTCAGATGACTGTTTTCTTGGTCATTCCTCCAGAATGTGGCCTTCTCAGGCAGTCTGTGCCATCTGGTATCATGTGAGTGACTGCCATCTTTAAAAACATACAGGATTTCCTCCAAACATGTATCTGATTTCCTTCTAGACTGAAGATAAAATTTAGAGCATTATGTACCTGTATAGATGCTCTGAGAAAAAAACAGCTGGACACTAAAGGTGGTGACAGAGACACAGAGATCTCGGGAAGCCTGCTGGGATGGCCACACAAACCTGTTTTCTATTTGAAAGTGAACATGCCACACTGTCCACTCTGTGTGAGACAGTGGGCACCGATGAGTGTGCATCAGGATGCCATGAACCTGCTGTAGAGAGGACTCAGCATTGTTTTCCCTGTTCTCCCCTCCCTGAAAATACAATGCTGAATCCTCTATTGAGGCTCACCACATGGAACCAGTGTCCAAAGGCATTAAACCCCAGACACTGGGGCAGCCTCTCCAGGTCACTGGCAACTGCAGACCCAGCAGCACTCCTAACAACAAGCATCAATAGCCTTAGACTTGCACCATAATCACACCTGTTCATATGTCTGGTATCCTAGAACTCAAGCCAGAAAACCAGTGCTACTGTATCTGTGTCATTGGAGGTTGTTTGCTTTTTACTTTTGTTGTTCTTGTGCATGCTGGGTAAGTGATCTACCATGGAGCTATAGCCCCAACCCTGTGTGACCATGACCAGACCGAAACAGCTGAAAGATTTGAAGAACACTTTGGGGATATTTTAAAAACACTCTAATGCCACATGTGATCCCAGCACTTAAAAGACTGAGGCAGGAGGATCACTGTGAGTTGGAAGTCAGCATGGGCTGCATAGTGAGCTCCAGGCCTGGACCATAGATTAAAACCTTGTCTCAATAAAACTAGAATAAGCAAGGTGTTGGTGCGCACGCCTTTAATACCAGCACTTGGGAGGCAGAGGCAGGCAGATATCTGTAAGTTTGAGGCCAGCCTGGTCTCCAGAGCGAGTGCCAGGATAGGCTCCAAAGCTACATTGAGAAACCCTGTCTTGAAAAACCAAAAATAGATAAATAATAAAACTAGAAAACAAAATATCCTTTGATAAGCTGTGAATGGAAACACATATTGAAAACGTTAACACCAAACAACACAATTGTTTCACAAGCATAAACATTTCAAACAAAACTAGGACTCCACCAGTGATTTTGGAGGTAAGGGTGGTGTCAGCTGATGTGTTGGGGATGTTAGGTGTGTACCTTGGTGAACAGCCTCACTTCAGGAAACACTTAAAAGCAGCAAGCTCTGTGGAAACAAGATGGGAAAGGCCATCACTGTGGATGGGCAGCTGTTCTAATATGTCTGTGTCTTTCCTCACTGCAGGAAGCCAGGGTGACAGAGGAGACAAGGGTGCAACAGGAGCAGGACTGGATGGGCCTGCTGGGGACCAGGGGCCCCAAGGTAGGCCACTGCCATCAAACAGTTCTTCTAGGGGAAGGCTGGAAGTGTTTTTCACTTGGCAAACATTTTCACTGGTTAGGAACTGCTTTTATAATCTCTTTAGTATATAGAAACAATGAATAATCAGTTAACAGCCAGGGATCAATACTTTTTCTATTTCTAACTTTAGCTAAATAGGTTTGGTTAACTTCTTACTAAATATAATTTCTATTCCAGAAAATTAATCTCTCTTAATTGACAACATAGACATTGATTTTTTTTCTTTTTACTTAGTAGTGAGCATGTGCCTGTGTGCACCTGTGTGCACATACATGGCATGCATGCACATGTACCACAACACATATGTGGAGGTCAGAGAACAACTATGTGGAGTCAGTTCTCCTCTCCTTGTACATGAGTTCTGGACCTTAAATTCAAGTTACCAGGCTTATAGGCAAATACTTCTGCCTGTTGAGTCATCCTGATTGTCACACTCAGTGTCTTAATGAAACAGTGCAATGCTGGGGGCTAGGTGAGGACTAGGTGTGCTGGCGTACATTGGTAATCCCAGCATCTAGGAGGCTGGTAGGAGGAGGAAGTCATGCCATCTGCAGGCCCCTGAGGAATTTTATCTGCAGCTGTGTTTCCTAAGGAGTGTTCCTCTCTAGGTTCCTCTAGCCAGATCTGTGCTTGGGTGACCCTCCCTGCCTCCTCTGTGAGACATAACCCCTCTCCTTTGTAAGGTGCCCCTACCTCATAAGGCTCATTACCCTCCTCCATGAGGTGTAGCCCCTCTCTCTGAGGTACAACCTCCCTTCTCTTCAAGGCACCCCTGCCCAGTTTATTTGCTGTCCTGACTATCCTGTTGGCAACCCCAGGCTACAGTTCCACCTACATGGCCTTAAGTATTACCTCTAAGTTTCCACTCCCAGCTGTGCCCTCACATTTGGGTAATATCATTGTTGGTAAATGGCTATGGCCTACCACCCCTAGCTAAAGTTTCCCAACTTTCTCCAGGCTGCCTGCCAACTCCAAATATGTTTTTGTTGTTTTTAAGATTTTATGTATTTTATGTACAGAGGTATTTTTTTTTTCTCATGTACATCTTCACACCAGAAAAGGGCATCACATTTCATGAGACTACAGTTATAGACAGTTGTGAGCCACCATGTGAATGCTAGAAATTGAACTCAGGACCTCAGAAAAGAAGCCAGTGATTTTAACTGCTGAGCCATCTCTCTAGCCCCCTCCAAATACACTCTTGATGTAACACCCCACAAGCCCTTCTGAGACCAGAGAGCACTGTCTTCAGGACACGATACTATCTGTGGCTAGCCTTGCCTCAGCTGTACCTGCCCCCCTCCTGCCCAGCCACTTGTCTTTGCCTCTGTTCTTCGGGACTCTGTGCCCCAGTGCCCCATCTCAGAATTAAACCAGTAGAGGGAGAATTTCCAGGTAGATTGTGAGTGGCTGTGGAGTTCCCATGGCCTCTAACTGCACTTTCCTGGTTTCTAGGGCCTCAAGGTGTGCCTGGAATCAGCAAAGATGGTCAAGATGGTGCTCATGGTGAGCCTGGCCTTCCTGGTGATCCTGGCCTTCCTGGAGCTGTTGGCGCTCAGGGAACCCCGGGGATTTGTGACACTTCAGCCTGCCAAGGAGCTGTGTTGGGGGGGGGTGGGGAAAAGTCAGGTTCTCGGAGCTCATAAACAGCAACTTTGGGAAATGACAACGCACTCCAGGAGGAAGCAGGGATCCTTCCTGGCCTGCTGTCTGGGCCCCCAAGAGCATCTACTGGCACCACTGTCACTGTCCCACCTGCAGGATTAATGGCAGCCCATTCATCTGTGACAGCATACCTCAGGCACAGGCCCTAGGGATGGAGACTTTAGGGATGTTGAATCTCAAGTTTGTTTTTTGTTTTTTGTACAATTCCATGAGATAAATACACTCAGAGACTTGTTTACATAACACTTACACAAAGCCTATAATAGACTACCAATAAAGCAATCTGCTAAAACTTCACATTAGCACTGGCTACAGTGTGATGAGGTGAGGCACTCAATGTGTTTCACCTGCTTTCTATTGCAAACTTAACATCTCTGGCTCCCAGTATTTATTGAAGGAACTACACTGCACCATCTGTACAATAAATAAAGCTACTCACTGGAAACCTGTGTTCCAAACATACAGTTTATTACACATAAAGCAATGACTCACAATGTGGAAATGTGGGCATTGAAGCAATCTACCGAGAAAATGTTTATGGGCAAAAGGAGTTTTAAAAGAAGTCTCTGGAAAATTCTTAGCAAAAAGTTTTAAAATGGCACTGCATTTTCCAATACAGAGTACCATGAGACTGGAAATAGGGCAGGGGGTGATAAAACAAATGAAATAAAGTTTCCAAACCTCTTCTAGTTAAGAACAATTTACCTTCTTCCAATTGCTAAAGGGGCATATTTAAAATGTAAACAAAATAAGTAAACGGCAATGTTTTCTTTAGTCTTGAGACTCAAGAAATTACCAAGGATGTTAATTTTTTTAAGTTATCATGTTAAGAACACATGATGGTGTCGGACAGGTAATTGAAAAATTACTAATTATCAAGATGTCTTCATCCTCAAATGGTCATCCGGACATTAGTGGGTAAGTATTTTGTTTAGATAAAAACTTTCACAAAATGTGCTCTCAAAATCCTTACTGGAGTCCCACCAACTGGAGCCACATCCCTCTCGAGGACTCAGAGCTGAGCTCTGGGATGGCGGGCATGTGCATGATGCCGTGAGATCAGCAGTTCTCTCCCAGGTCCTGGGTCAGTCCAGTCACTTGATCTCCATGGCGGGGCTGCTCTGCAGACTGCCCTGTGCAGGGCAGGTCACCAGGGATTCGGGTCTAGTCAGCTTTAGCCTTCTGCCAGTCTTACCGCAAAACACGCTCTCAAATTCCTAAAGTCAAGAAGTGATCATTAATGCACTGAATTCAAATTATGTTAATGCTGCTAGTTTCAAAAGCACAAGGGGCTGAAATTAGGAGCCATGTAAAGTTATCTCAAAGTATGAGCTTCTAAGGTATCACAAACATGTCACACCTTAGAGAGGAGGTATTTGAGAAAATAGGAAAAAACATTTTCCCTAATAGGGGTTATACTGTATGTATGTTTTTTTTTAAAGATTTTCCAATAAATTCTCAGTGTCGGAGTATATGGCCATTTTTTATGGTTAAAAACATAAAATATAGTATTTTCATCATTTGTTAAATTTCCAGGTCAGTGGCTGTCCCTTAACAAACTGGTGAGGATCCTTGGCCAGCCACGGACTAGGGCAGTCCCTGAGTTTGCTCTGCACACAGTGAGACTAAGAGTAACTCCCTGCAGGCTGCTAGTCTGCTTATTCACCCAGCTTTCCCTGCCTTTAAAAAGGCCTTAGGTCTAAAGTCCAGACAAGGCTGGCCTGCTTCCTAACCTAAACACAGGGTTGGCCTCAATGTCGCCAGATAGCTACCAAGGCTGATGGCCCAAGAATTGGGAGGGTGGGGGAAGACCCTCAGGAAGGCTAGTCTAGAAGATGCAGCAAACAAGTAGTTAACTATTTCCATGAATTTGTGAAATGCAGAATGTGTGAATTCCTACGAGATAAGTGACCCTGAGAGGAAAGAGACTAGTATTTGGATTTCAATTCCAACACACAAGTATAGAGACCTGTGAGTGCAAAGGCAGACATTGGGATGGCTGTCTACAAATGAAAGAAAATACAAGTGTGCTAACTCACTAAAGTGGAAGGAGGCTGGGCTCAGAGATGTGGGCCTTCACTGTTCTATTGTTTTTACTGTTTAGAAATTTCTTTTTTAAGTATAGCATTCTAGACTCATTAATCTAGGTTTGAAAGTTCCTGCTTTGGTAAATATGCATTATAGTAAAATTTGGTGTTTTCACCATCTGCAAGTTTACAATTCCATGGCACTAAGTATACCAGAAGCTTCTTCCAAAAATGTCTCTTATCGGTGCCAGAGAGATGGCTCAGTGGTTAAGAGCACTGGCTGCTCTTCTAGAGGTCCTGAGTTCAATTTACTGGAACCACATGGTGGCTCACAAAATGTCTCTTACCATTCCAAACAGCATGGAATGGTCCTCATTAACCATGGCATCCCGCTGCCTGCTCTGACACACACCAGTAAGTTTCCATCTTTGAGTCTGATCTATCCAGGGACCCTCACATTGGTGACTGGCTTATCTCACTCAGCTTGTCAAGGAGTATTCATTACAGCAGGCACCAGAACGCCAGTCCTTCTCATGGCTGAACATTGCCATTGGGTGTCCAACAAAACATTCTGCTTGTCCACTATGATAAGTACAGCTGCTGTGAATGCTCTGAGACAAACGTCAGTCTAATTCTTCTTTTCAATCTCTGGATTTGCTGGGTCATATGGTAATTCTGTTCTGAGAACTACCATACTATTCTCCACAGTGGCTACACCACTTCACATTTCACCATCAGCATACACGCAAGTGTTAGAATTCCTCCAGATCTTTTCTAACTAGTTATTTTCATTTTTGTTTTTCTGATATTTGATATTGAAGTGGTATCTCATTTTTTTTTTCTGGCACTGGAGATCAAACCCAGGGCCTTGCAAGTGCTCTACCACTAAGTCACATCCTTGGCCCCTGGAGGGTGATGTCCTAGGAGCCAGTGCAGAAAGCCAAGGGGTCTTGAGGGCCCATCTCTGGCTGAACTGTATGGGAGCAGCAACTAAATGCTTCTGGGAGTAAACCTGGGAGGAGGGTGGAGTTGAGAGGGTAACTTATGCCTAGGTTCAATCCCCAGTGTAAACTGGGTGTGGTAGCACATGCCTGTAATTCTGGCATTTGAGGAGAAAAGGCAGGAAGACCAGAAGTTCAAGGTCAACCCCAGCCCCCAGCTACACTACATGAGCTATGAGGTCTTGTTTCCTAACCCTAATAATAGAAAAAGAGAGAGGAGAGAGAGGGAGGGAGGGGGAGAGGGAGAGAGGGAGGGAGGGGGAGAGGGAGAGAGGAAGAGACAGAGGGAGAGAGAGAGAGAGAGGCAGAGAGAGAGGGGGGAAATGTTTGATTTTAATGCACTCATTAGGAAGAGACTAAGGGACATAAATTTTAATTTGGGAAGGACAGAGGAAGGATAGTTATTTAATTAAAAGCAAACTACGACAAAAAATACTAATGCATACAGAATAAATTAAGGAAGCTGGGGTACGACCCTCAGCAAGGAGGGGCCCAGAGTAGTCAATGGGCAAGCCAGGAACAGAGCAGGACAAGAGTGTAGGGTTATTTTGTACAAGATAATTTATTTTTAGAACAGAACACTGCATAGCTTTGGCCACTCAGTGACATACAAGTCACAGGTACTTGCTGGGTGGCTGACAGGTACTTCTAGTGGCATGTTCTAAAGAGGGGGAAAAAAATCTGCAACAAACAGCAGTTTCCCCATAATTTGAGAGGTGTGACTCTATCTCTTGGCTTTCTTCTGCTACATTTGTGCCAACCATGCTCTTATGAGGACATTTAGAAACTTGTAGTCATCAAGCTACATATCCCAACCCTGAGGCCCCTGTGCTGTAGCAAATGACCCTCTATCAGCCCCAGCAAAAGCTGTAGCTGCTAGGTTCTTCATCCACACTGCAGAGCCTATCCAATGCTAGTGGCAGTCTTTTCTTCTACTTTGGGAAGCTATGTTTATTACCTGCTGTATCAACTCCACATTGGACCCCAGTATCTGGTGAAGTCAGTGGTACAGAGAATTCAGCACCCCAGTGCACCCATGTAGGGCCACCCCATAGACTGCATGAATGACACTTACCTGGCGTGAAGTGGTACTTGGACGAGATCATAAAGGATGCAGTTTAATGGACCAGATGCTCCATCATATACACAATACGGCTTTGGTTTATCACATTAGAGCATGAGGCTGGCAGGCAAACAGGCCAAGGGCTGTCAGCAGTCAATGGTAGGCACAGACCCTCAAGAGTCTTGCCATGAGGGCCTCAGCACCTCTGCAAGGAAGGTGGTACTCAAAAAGATGGGGTGCAGTCTCTGCAAGGAGCATCCTCCCCATCCTGGGAGCAAAAGGCTGAGTCTAGACTATGAAGGATGATGGAGGGGCTCTGGACTCAGGAAGGTACACCACTGTCTACCAAAACAGTAGATACTTCTCCTGCCTTGGCTGCTCAGGTCCAGGCTCCCAGATTGAGCCAGGAGCATCCCATAATTAAGATGCTGAGGAAAAGACAGACTCAGAGGAGCAGACACCCAGGAGGGTGATATCCTAGAAGCCAGTGCAGAAAGTCAAGAAATGTATGTCTCCAGGCTCCCCTGGACCCTACTCTAGCTGAACACTGAAGGGGCAACGATTAAAGGCTTCTGGGAGGAGACCTGAGAGCTGAGAGGAGGGTGGACTTTAGAGGGCACATAGGGTATTTTTTGAGCTAGCAGTAAGGAGGGCAATGCTAGAAGGGGACAACGGATCCAAAGAGCTCCCTAGAACACTAATTGAAATGGCAACAGCTTTAATTAAATTAGGGAAGAAGGCCTGGGGTCAGGACCTGTGTGCCAGGACGGGGTCTGGAAATAACCAGGTGAAGGTATGACTTCATAGCAAAGAGGACCTCTCCCTTGATGACAAGAGGAAGGCAAAGCAGATGAGCCATAGGATGGCAGTGGGGCTCAGCAGCCTTCAACTCCTTGATGAGGTTCACAGCCACAAATCCCTAATTGCCTTTCACACCACAATGAAATGTTACCAGTGGCCCCGGACTGGATCCCAACCAGGGAGATAGCTGTGGAGACGGACATTGCTGGAACAATGTAAACCTTCACAGTGCTAGCTAACAGTGCCCATCTGTTACCACAATCCCATCTTGACCACAGTGTTCTGTTTATGTAAGACAATGTACAAAAAAGCAAACACTGGAGAACAGAGGTGTAAGATGGCATCTGTAATTCACTATCAAATCATTCAGACACACGAGCAACCTGGGACACTGAGCAAGTCTAGATGGGTTCTTGTGATATCTACGTCTAAAACTACTCTGTAGTTAAAAAATCATCACCAGTAACCCAAATCAAGAAGGGGATATTCCACAGACCACTGGCCAGACCTTCAAACCTCAATACCACTACAAACAGGGATGGTGAGATTTTAGCTGCTTAGACTAAAGGGCAAAATCAAACACAGTTCATGAGCCATGGCTAGATAGTCAGGTGAGAGGGTGAAACAGAGTGAACAAACAAAAACTCCAAGCAGGCAGAGATGGTGTGCACCTTTAACCCCAGCACTTGGGAGGCAGAGGCAGGCAGATCTCTATTTGAGGACAGCCTGGTCTACAGAACAAGTTCCAGGACAGCCAGGGCTACACAGAGAAACCTTGTCTCGAACCACCTCCCCTGCCAAAAAACTCAAACAAAAACTCCAACAAAGATCACTGTAAAAATCCTTACAGAGGGGCTAGAGAAATAACTATTAGTTAAGAGCACTGGTCCACTTCCAGAGGACCTGGGTTCCATTCCCAACACCCACATGGCAGTTCACAACTGTTTGTAACTTTAGGTCCAAGGGATCTGACACTCTCTCATAGGCATACATGCAGGCAAAAGACCACATGAAATAAAAATGAATCTTAAAAAAAAAAAAAAAAAAAAAAAAATCCTTCCAAAACCCAGGGGGGGGGGCAAACAATCCTTCCAAAACCCAGTGGTGGTGGCAGACACCTTTAATCCCATTACTTGGGAGGCAGAGGCAGGTGGATCTCTGACTTTGAGGATAGCCTGATCTACAGAGTGAGTTGGAGGACAGCCAGGGCTACACAGAAAAAACCTGTCTTGAAAAACCTAAAAGAATCCTTACAGAAATGTGAGACTGGGTAGTAGACATTGCCATCAGCTTTGTGGGGCTGATATGAAGATAGGTCAGTCTTT